GACGGGGTTTCACCATGTTGACCAGGATGGTCTCGATCTCTTGACCTCGTGATTCACCCGCCTCGGCCTCCCAAAGTGCTGGGATTACAGGCGTGAGCCACCGCGCCCGGCGTAATTTCTTTAAAATTCCCTCGGCCAGGCACGGTGGCTTCTGCCTATAATCTCAACACTTTGGGAGGCCAAGGCGCTAGGATCACAAGGTCAGAAGTTCGAGAACAGCCTGGTCAATATGGTGAAACCCTGTCTCTACTAAAAATACAAAAGTTAGCCGGGCATGGTGGCGGGTGCCTGTAGTCCCAGCTACTAAGGAGGCTGAACCAGGAGGATTGCTTGAATCCTGGAGGTGGAGGTTGCAGTGAGCCATCATGGGCCATTGTACTCCAGCCTGGGCGAGAGAGCGAGACTCCGTCTCAAAAATTAAAAAATTACCTCGTAGCACCATGGGTAGTTTTACACTCCTCTTTACTCCCTTCCTGGATGGTAAGCTTTTTTGATGGCAGAGTTTCATTCTTACCATTCAATATATTGTCCCTGTTTACTGCCTATTAATTGCTGGACTTTAAACTGAAAGTGTTTGAAATTTGTATTAATTAACTATTAACTTTTTATCAGAGGAAATAGCTATTTTTCCAGGACAAGCAGATAGACTGTCCTTTATTCTCTTTCTTTTGAGATGAGGTCTCGTTCTGTTGCCTAGGCTGGAGTGCAGTGGCACGATCCCAGATCATTACAGCTTCTACCTCCCAGTCTCAAGCAATCCTCCCACCTCAGCCTCTGGAGTAGCTGAGATCACAGGTGTGCACCACCACGCTGCCTAATTTTTTTTTATATTTTGTAGAGACAGTGTCTTGCCATGTTGCCCTGGCTGGTTTTGAACTCCTAAGCTCAAGCAGTCCTCCCTCCTTGGCCTCTGAAAATACTGAGATTACAAGTGTGAGGCACCATGCCATCCCTGTTGTTGCTTTGTTGTATATTTATGTATTTTTTAAATGTATTATTTTTTTTATTTTTTGAGATGGAGTCTTGCACTGTCATCTGGGCTAGAGTACAATGGCATGATCTCGGCTCACTGCAACCTTTGCCTCCTGGGTTCAAGTGGTTCTCCTGCCTCAGCCTCTTGAGTAGATGGGATTACAGGTGTGTGCCACCACACCTGGCTAATTTTTTGTATTTTTAGTAGAGATAGGGTTTCACTATGTTGGCCAGAATGGTCTCAAATTCCTGACCTCCACCCAACTTGGCCTTCCAAAGTGCTGGGATTACCATGCCCAGGCTCTTAGTTGTATATCTTATGTAGCACTTAGAGAGATCTGGAGTCTGTAAGGTCTGGTTGACGTGTAATTTATATTATTATTATTATTATTATTATTATTAGAGATAGAATCTCACTGTGTTGCCCAGGCTGGAGTGCAGTGGCACCATCAGGGCTCACTGCAACCTGGATCTCTTGGGCTCAAGAGATCCTCCCACCTCAGCCTCCTGAGTAGCTATGTCTACAGGCATGTGCCACCAGACTCACTAAGTTTTGTATTTTTTGTAGATATGGGGTTTCACCATTTCGCCCACACTGGTCACAAACTCCTGAGCTCAAGCAGTCCACCAGCCTGGGCCTCCTAAATGCTGGGATTATAAGCTATCCCATATCTGGCCTCTTAAGTAAACAAAAACTGTCTCAAAAAATAAATAAATAAATGAAATGAAATGAAATTACAGAGCTCTCTCATTTTAGCCAACACTGCTTTATACTTTTTTTTTTTTTTTTTTGGAGACAGAGTTTTGATCTGTTGCCCAGGCTGGAGTGCAGTGGCCTGATCTTGGCTCACTGCAGCCTCTGCCTCCTAGGTTTAAACAGTTCTCCTGTCTCAGCCTCTCGAGTAGCTGGGAAACAGGCACCCGCCACCATGGCTGGCTAAGTTTTATATTTTTAGCAGAGACCTGGTTTCACAATGTTGGCTATCCCACATCTGGCCTCTTAAGTAAACAAAACTGTCTCAAAATAAATAAATAAATAAATGAAATGAAATTACAGAGCTCTCTCATTTTAGCCAACACTGCTTTACACTTTGAACTCCTGGGCTCAAGCAGTCTGCCTGCCTTAGCTCCCAAAGTGCTGGAACTGCAGCCCTGAACCACTGTGCCTGGCCAACATCATTTTTTAAAACCAATCCCTTGTTGAAGACATTGAAGCTGTTTCTAGTTTTTCGATATCATATCTCAATTCTTTTATTTATTTTATTTTATTTTAATTTTTTTTGGGGGGGACAGGGGCA